CCCTCGGAGCTAGGTCCTGTTATTCATACCTTTTTACTGATAAACCGAGGCCCAGAAGCTGTATCTGGGATACACATACAGTAAGTAGTAAAGGCAGGAATTGAACTCATGTCTGTCTGACTCTTGAGCAATGTCATCATTTCACATTGTCACTGTGTAATCTGGTTAGAGAGGCAGAAGTGAATATGTATGTGAGACACCCAGTCGCACAGCTGCCGTGTGGGAAGTTCAGGGGGGGTGATTCGTGCAGACGCTGGGCTCGTTCTGGGTCGAGTGAGAGCTGTCATTTGTTGAAGGCTCCCATTTATTCTGCTACCTGCCCAGAGTCGTTGGTAGTGATGTCCCCAGTAAGTCGAGGCACAGCTGAAATTCAGTACAGGTTCCTGTGACTTTTTTCAACTTCAGAGGATAAAAGAGGTGCATGTGAGTAGCTCAGTGGGTACAGTGCGGACGTGTTAGCGTGGTCTACAGCCACTACCAGAAGCTGAACGTTGCCAGCACCGGGACGTGGTGTGCCCCTTCCTGACACCCCCCCACAAGGATCACCACCACAGCTCTGTGGGTTGTTGGTTTTATGGCCATGTCGTGTCGTGGGTACAAGCAAGGGCTTGGTAGAGTTGGGGCCAGGTGCCAGCCCTGCTGTTCTTGGCTGTGAGATTGGGCAACTTAGCCTGGGAATTTCATCAGTAAAATGCGAATAAGAACAGTTCCTACCTCATGGACTTTTTATGTATCATGCATACTAAATATTGTAAATCAGTGTGTGGGAAATGCTTGCATGTTACACCTGCCTAGAGCCTGCAGGCGTTGGTTTGATTCCTCAGGAAAAGTGATAGTGGGGGAGGTGTTTTTAGAAATGTGGTCAAAGGCGCGCGCACTCAGCAGAGGGAGACAGAAAGAGAGAGGTAAAGTGAGAAAGCCCCATACGGCGGGCCATCCGCAGTGCTTTCTCATTCCTCCTGTTGGGATTCGGGGCACGCACGCACACCAGCCCACTGTGTTTCTTAAGCTGCCGGGTCTAGGACTTGGACCCCAGTTGGCCATGTGGGATCCAGCTACCTTCCCCACCATGCCACAGTCCAACCCAGTTGAGATTTTGTTTTGTTTATAGGTTTTTGCCATAGGACACATGTGCTCACTAGAGGGGGGGAGTGAGAAATTATCCCTCTCCATTCTCCTATGAGGGTTTTAGACATGCACACGGACGTACCCAGCATGGTTTTCAATCTGCCAGGTCCAAGACTCGAACCATGATCAGCCACTGGGAGTCCAAAATCTTAACCACTATGCCACCTGCTGGCCCCTCCCCTCCTGAGATTTTTGGCATGCATGTGCATGAGCCTGGTATGATTTTCAAGCCACCAAGTCCAGGATCTGAACCGTGGTCGGCCATGTGGCAGTCCAGCACTTTAGCCACCATGCCACCTGCTGGCCCTGAGGAAGTTTTTTGATGGGAGTGACACGCTCAGGTTTCGGTTACAGAGAAGGGTAGGGCTTAGGCCAGTGGGGAGAGGGAGAAGGCATTCCCCCATAGAGTGGAGCCAAAGCACAGGTTCTTAGAGAGGGACCCATGCACAAGAGCGGCTTGTCAGCAGTGGTGGAGGGCACATGCAAGTAAGTCTGGAAACCCGAGAAGTAGAAATTCACATCGTGGGGGCCAGCAAATGGTGTAATGGTTACATGGCTAGGGTCCATGTAGTCAACCATGGTTCGAATCCTGGACCCAGCAGCTTAAATTCATGCTGGGCATGTGTGTGTGCGTGTGTGCCCAAAATCCTGAGAGGAGAATGGAAGAGAAGGGACTGTAGCGTGGCCATCACCTGGGGGTGATTTTTCGCTTTCTGTCTCTGTCTCTCTGGCAAGCGCATGCACCCTATAGCAAAATCTCTCTTAAAAAAAAGAAAAAAGAGAAAGAAAATGTTCATTGTTGTGGGTACTAAGTGCCAGACCAGACCAAGATATGTGGACTTCTCCCCAATCTCACTGGGGAGATGCTGCAACCTTGTAAGTCTGTGTGTGTGCGTGCACGTGTGTGTACAAATATGCGTGTGCTGGGATGTGGAAGCACATCCACAGTGTCGCGTATATGATCCTGGCTGGGTGTGCAGGGTCATTGGAGGTGGGAGTGGGAGACTGGAGGCAGAGAGATGGTTGTAAGGTGAGGGAACAGGTGGGTTGGGGATTACATTGAATCCTAAGAGCTGATAGTTTTATTTCTCTGTGTATGTGTGTGTGTGTATTTGCTATAAAGGTGTGTGCAGTCACCAGAGACAGAGACAGAAAGAAAGAACACCCCCCAGGGGGAATGGCTACACGGCAGTCCCCTCTCCATTCTCCCCCTGGGATTTGGGCACGCATGCACACATATGTGCCTGGCATGTTTTCAAGCCACTGGATCCAGGACTCAGACTGGCCAGTTGGCCATGTGGGATCCAGCTGCTCCAACCACCACGCACTCTGCTGCCTCCCCTTTTATTAAGCTTTGTGTGTGTGTGTGTGTGTTTTAAACATTTATTCATTTGTTTGTGATTTTCAAGCCACCAGGGCCGAGCTCAAACCAGGAAGCTGGCTGTGTGGGAATCCAGCGCCTTAACGGCTGTGCCACCTGCTGGCTGACCCCCCTTTATCTCCTAGATGCTAAGCGCTATGCTGAATGACTTTGCATAGTCTTACCAAATCTCCACTCGGCCCTGAAAGTAGACGTGGATATCTGTACTCTGCTGATGGCGTGCTGTAACTTAGGGTGACACCATGAATGAGCAGTAGAGCTTGTTTCCAACTCACACCTACGCTGCAAAACCCAGTCTCTCGCCTGTGCCCCAGGGCTTCGCAAACTGTGCATTAGCATCCCAAGGCAGTACCTGTGGCCCGTCAGTTATAGACTGGGGGTGGGCCGAGCATTGGTATTTTAAACAAATACACCAGAGGAGCGCGGCACAGACTGGCGTTTGGGAGCCGCCATGCTCACCGTGCTGCCCCCAGCGACTAGCCCTTCCCACCTCCGTTCCTCAGGTTCTCCCCTGCAGCGTTCTCAGGGGTGACTTCTCACGTTCTGTGTCTCCGGCTCTCTGTCTCTCTGTCTCTGTCCTGATGGGATGGAGACATGGGGGAGAAGGGATTGCAACATGACTGCACCCAGGATTCTTGGGGCAGGAGGGGGTCCAGAGGCTTGACCCCCTTCCTATGGTATCAGAGTATGCATCTTAACAGCACTGCCCAGTTGACTTATTGCCTGAGATGCGTAGTGCCAAAGCATAATTTGAAGTGTGAGGACACTTTGATAAAGTCATGTCACCAGGAGTCTGTAGCCTAGTGGTTAAGGTTGCTGGATCCCACATGGCCAGTCCTGTGGTTCAAGTACTGGACCTGTGGGCTTGAAAACCACATTGGGCACTTGCCTTAAATATTTAAGATTGAGAAATGGAGGGACCAGCAGGTGGCATAATGGTTACGTCGCTGAACTGCCACGTAGGCAACCATGGTTCGAGTCCCAGACCCAGCAACTTAAAATTCATGCTGGGCATGTGTGCATGCATGTCCAAGATCCCAAGAGAATGGAGGAGAAAGGATTGCAGCATGGCCATCCCCCCAAGGGATGATTTCTCACTTTCTGTGTCTATGTCTCTTTGGCAAGCGCATGAGCCCTATAGCAAAAACCTCTCAAAACAAAGTGAGAAGTGGAGGAGAAGGGATTGTAGCATGACTGTTCCCATTTGAGTACCTTCTCACTCTCTTTCTCTGTCTCCCTGGTGAACACATGTGCCCTCTGACAAAAATTTTTTTTAATTCTTTTTTGGGGCCAGCAGGTGGCATGGTGGTTAGGGGCACTCGACTCCCACATGGCTGACCTTGGTTCCGAGTCCTGGACCTGGTGACTTACTTTCTCACTTCTCTCTCTCTGTCTTTCTCTCACTCTCACTCTGTTCCTCTCTGGTCAAATTAAAATAAATAAATAAAATAATTCTTTTTTTTTTTTTTTTTTTTTATATATATTTTTTGACCAGTTGGGCCCTGTGCTAACAGCTCTTCTCTGTGGTGTCTTGGTCAGCCTTTTCCCTTGAGCAAGCCTGATCTCCAGATTATTCACTCAAGTGAATTACAGCCGAGGAGAAAGGCTGGCAGAAAGCCCCGTCCTCGAGGTGTGTGGCCACGGCCCCAGCCTGTAAGGGCTCCACTGCAGAGCCCTGACCTTCACTGGCTTTACAGACTGTAGTTTTCAGCCCCTCATCCTGGCCCCATTTTGCTATAAAACTATTTCTTTGCCTCAACTGAATCATTCAGTCCATGAGTCAAAAGCAGAGTTTCCTGCATCGAGCCCTAGCTATTAGGTTGTCAGAAAAGTCATGACATTATTTTTTCTATCCAAAAATGCATTATGACTTTTCCAACCACGTGGTAGTTTACCTTCTATTGCGTGGCCTAAGCGTGCAGCTAAGAAAACTCCTAAGGAATGGTTTGAACAAGGATCCAGACAAAGGATCCAAACATACTTATTTTATGAAACAATTGAACCAGTAAACTAAGTATCAAACTTCTTGTACTAATCATATTCTCTGTGAATTTTGTGTTCATTTGTGTCACTACGAAACCCATGTTGAACTGTCCCGTGTCTCTTCCTGTTCTAATTCTGGGTCCTGACTACGGTCCACCAGGCCGTGAGCTCTTAGAGAACAGGCTCGGTTTCTCCTGTCTATTTCTCTGTGTCCCAACTGGGTTTTTGGAAGAGGCACCAGTAGATGCTTCCTTGTGTATGAGCGGGCAGGAGTGATGGTAGCAGGTATATGATGTGCATGTTATGTATGTAAAACGCGTGTGTGTACACATATATATAGTACTTTACCTTTGTTATAGGCATGTAAAACAGGTAAGGAATATAGCATACGTGTATTAAGGAAGCAGGCATTTGCTTAAGTTCATACGGCTAATAAGTGGTAGAATCGGGTTCGCACCCAGGCGGTCTAAAGGGTCCATTGTTAACCATGTTTTTATCCTCTCCACAGGCACCCAGATTGGCTGAAAACTTCTGTGTCTGTCATTTGGCTACTGGGGACATGCTGAGGGCCATGGTGGCTTCTGGCTCAGAGCTGGGAAAAAAGCTGAAGGCAACTATGGATGCTGGGAAACTGGTAGGTGTGGGAGGGCTGGTTAGTGCCGATCCTCCTCAGAGCCTGTATCTGCCCTGTCTGAGACGGGAGCCACCAGCCACATGGGGCTGTTTGGGTTCATTTAAATGAAATCTAATTCACAAAGCAGATCCTCAGTCAAGCTAGCTTTTAGTCTTTTAGTTTTTTAGTTTTTGCTATAGAGTGTGTACTTCCTATAGAGAGAGAAGTGATGGGAGGGTGAGAAATCACCTCCCAGGAGAGATGGCCACACCACAATCCCTTCTCTACTCTCCTGTCAGGATTTTGCACATGCATGCACACATGCCCAGCATGATTTTCAGGTCCAGATCTCAAACCATAAAGTCAGCCATGTGGGAGCCAGTGCCCAGCCTCCAAACCACCTGCTGGCTCACACGAGCCCGTTTCAAGTGTTCGCCAGCCAAGACAGATAAAGAGCATTTCTGTCATCACAGAAAGTTTTTCTCAACAGCCCTGTGCTAGAGGGTATTTTATCAAACTGGGTGTTTTAGAGAAGCAAGTTATTTAGTTTGAATTTATGGCACTTAATTTATTCACAATTCTCATTTGTTCTCAATTTATTCTTGAGGTTCATTTGTACTGATGCATTTTATAATACACCCAAAATTTTAGGGGCACGATTAGATCAGAACTCAGAGATTTGTTCATGAGAAGACTCAGGAAGTCACACGAGTGTTTTTCGGGGTTTTTTTTCCTTCTTTTTTTGGAGAGGTTTTTGCTATAGGGCGCGTGTGCTTGCCAGACAGACGGAAAGCGAGAAATCGCCCCCCAGGGGGGATGGCCACGCTGCAATCCCTTCTCCTCCATCCTCCTCTCGGGATCTTAGGCTCACACACGCCCAGCGTGAGTTTAAGCCACTGGGTCCAGGACTCGAACCATGGTCGACTACATGGGAGTCTAGTAACATAGCCATTACGCTAACTGCTGGTTCCCCCCCCTTTTTTTAAGAGTTATTTTATTTAACGTTATTTATTTTCTTTAATTTGACCAGAGAGGGACAGAGGAAGGGGGGCAGGGAGTGAGAAAGCAAACTGCCAGGTCCAGGACTCAAACTGTGGTCAGCAATGTGGGCGTCCAACACCCTTAACCACCACGTCACCTGCCGGCCCTTCTACCTCCTGTTTCTTTCGAGCTTCCCCTTCATATCAGTGAGGCCTTCAGTCAGGCCACGAGCTAGGTATTTGGACTTCGGTTCTTGGCAAGATTCTGCCCTGAGAAGGAGCTGGAATGTGGTGACGAGATTGCGTCTGAAGCCTTCACTTTTTGCGGAGTTTATACTTTGTCCCCAAGCTCACAGCTGACCCCAAAAGATAAGAGCTTTAGCTGCCTGATAGGTAGCTTCCACCGTGACACAGGTGGGACCGTTTCTCTCTGTCAAGTCCCAAGGGGAGAGCCAGTTTTCGAAAGCTGCTAGGGGCCCTGCCTGGGTCCCTCTTCGCGTCCTTGGTCTGACCCAGTTTGCCAGTTCAGTGATCTCTGTTGCCTTACACCTGGGAGTGAGTGGCCATATGACCACGGTGACACGCACAGTCACTAAGCAACACGGAAGCAGAGAGTGCTTTCTGGCCGACCCCCCTTCTCTCGTGTTCTCGGCGAACTCTGAGCCGTGAGGACAGCTGGTGGCTGACAGGACTCGATCCTAGTGGCAGCAGTGGCATTCAGGACCAAGACGGAAGTCCCTGTGCAGTGACAGACCCCACCCCCACCTCCGATGACCAGGTCAGAGGAGAGTCTTCACGCTGACCACAGAAACAGTCACGAAGCCAGACCTCGCACACGGAGCCTGTCCACATTCGCTCTGCTTCCTGTTTCTTAGGGGTCAGAACAACTTAGTCTTTAGCAATCGGGTTAAACACATACACACTGACCCTGGAACTGGCCGAATGTCACCTCGCTAACAGATTCCAACCCAGGGCTGTTTTGTTCGTGACTTCCAGGTGAGCGATGAAATGGTGGTGGAGCTCATTGAGAAGAATTTGGAGACCCCTTCGTGCAAGAATGGTTTTCTTCTGGATGGCTTCCCTCGGACTGTGAGGCAGGCAGAAATGGTGGGTTAGCTTTTGTGTTACCGTTGCCTGACAGCACACTCCGGCCCTTCACCTCTTGATGCCTTCGAAGGCGATGGGTCTGACCACACCTGGTAGCTTAGCTGGGCCGCACGCTCTCTTACAGCTTGATAACCTCATGGAGAAGAGGAAAGAGAAGCTCGATTCTGTGATCGAATTCAGCATTCCCGACTCCTTGCTGATCCGAAGAATCACAGGAAGGTATTTTTCCCTTGAGGGTCCCTTATTTTCATGCTTCCTCAGAGTTTTTCTGTGTAAATCTCCATTTTAGTGCTTTTTAAAATCTGATTTCAGGGGCCGGCAGGTGGCATGGTGGTTAAGGTGCTGTACTCCCATGTAGCTGACCATGGTTTGAGTCCCAGACTTTCCAACGTACTTTTTCACATTCCCTCTCTCCTTCTCTGTCTCTCTGGTCAAGTTAAAAAATAATAATCATAAATAAAATAGGATTAGGGTTTTCTTTAAAAAAACAAATCTGATTTTAGTTGGAGTTGCCATACTTTGCTGCAAAATTTTTATTAATTAGGAAATAGTATCATCTACGTGGAGTTTAGAAAAGAGAGGAAGCAGGAGCAGCAGTTGGAGTAATGGCTACGTCTCTGGACTCCCATGTAGTCGACCGTGGTTCAAGCCCGGACCCGGTGGCTTAAACTCATGCCAGGCATGTGTGCTTGTGTGCCCAAGATCCCGAGAGGAGAATAGAGAAGAAGGGATTGCGGCGTGGCCATCCCCCATGGGGACTGATTTCTCGCTTTCTGTCTCTCTGTCTCTGTTTGTCTTTCTGGTGACCACACATGCTCTATAGCAAAAACCTCTCAAAACAAAAAATGAGGAGGAATTTGTTCATAGTAAGCCACCCTGGATTTTTTGTTGTTGTTTTTTGTTTTTGAGATTTTTTTGCTATAGGGCATGTGCACTCACTGGAGAGACAGAGAGAGGCAGAAAGAGAGAAATCACCCCCCAGGGGGGATGGCCATGCCGCAGTCCCTTCTCCTCCATTCTCTCGGGATCTTGGGCATGCAGGCACATATGCCCAGCATGAGTTTAAGCCACCGGGTGCAGGACTCGAACCGCGGTCAGCTACATGAGAGTTCAGCGACATAGCCATTATGCTAACTGCTGATCCCAATACATTTGTTTTATATATCGTTTGCCACCTGATAGTTCACACTGAACACAGAAATCTGCTTCTAGACAAGGTGTTCTGAAAGATGCCATTGCTTTAGGCTCCTCGCTCCGTCTCACTAACCGCCATTTGCTCTGTGCCTTCCAGAAATACCTTGCAAGCTCTCCACCACTGTGGACCCTTCACTCTCTGCTTTACTGTGAACTCGCTTTTTTCTCTCTGTCCCTTTTCTTTTTTTAAGAGAGACTTTTGCTATAGGGTGCGTGCGCTCGCCAGAGAGACAGAAAACGAGAAATCACCCCCAGGGGGGATGGCCACACCACAATCCCTTCTCCTCCATTCTCTTCTTGGGATCTTGGGCACAGACGCATATGTGTGCCCGGCGTGAGTTTAAGCCACCGGGTCCGGGACTTGAACCGCAGTCAACCACATGGGAATCCAGCAACATAGCCATTACGCCAATTGCTGGTCCCTTGCTTTGCTTTCCTGAGGAGGTCGAACATTTCGTCCATGTGTTTATAGTCCCTGCTATCAAGGAGAGAGGCGGGCGTGTGAATAGACATGGTGAGGTTAGACGTGTACCCGACTGGCTGTGTGAAATACAGCGAGGACTACCCTATGCTCATTTCTTTCCGGGTGTCAGGTTCGTGTTTCTGGCTATTCCATAGGCTCCGTCGGTGCAGAGACACTTTCTTTGCATCCCCATGAGGCACAAAGTAGACCGTGTATAGACCAAGAAGTGGTAGGGTTGAGGATGGGGACATCACAGACCTGGGCCCTGAGACACAAAGCAGATGCTAACAGGACCAGGTGTCAGTGGGGCCTTTGATTCGATGGGCCCAGCTTCCTACGTGCCCACTTCCTGCACAGCACCGTGCCGGATCCTTGGGGGAGAACAGGAAGCTCTGGGGGACAGGACAGTGATGCCCTCTGACCTCAGAGCCTTGTCGGAGACTGAGCTGCTCTGGGCTGTTCAGGGGAGTAGGAAGTCCAAGGAGATTGCCTAGGGGCAGGGAGACTTAACTTGGAACTCAGCCTTCCAGAGAGACGAGGGCTTCAGGGAGGCTTTTCTAAAGGGAGTAGAGAGGGATGCGGATTCTGAGGGGAGGCTCTAGCAAGGGCTCGTAGCAGACCTCTGCCAGAGCTGGAGTGGGCCACGGGCTGGGAAGTAGGAGAGCTGCGAAGATCTGACAGGAGCGCACCTGGGGAAGGGCTGACTCAGGAGGGTAGACTTGACAGAGCGCGAGTCATGCGGTAGTCTCGAAGCCCTGGGTGTTGTGCAAAAACAGCATTCTAAAATACTGGCTTCGTCCTGGCGTCCGGGCTACGTTGAAGGAGAGGAGAAGCAGGTAAAGACCCCGCTAGGACCCTGACTCCCATCCACGTAGAGGGGTGGAGGCCTCTCACAGGGCGAGTGGTGGGTGGCGATTCCGAAGACGAGCTACAGGTCGCCCTCAGACTCAGACTGGAAGTGAGCGGTTCGCTGTGGCTCCCACCCTCAAAGAGCACGCCAGCCTGGGAAGGAGCTTTCCCAGGGTCACCGGGTGTGTGTGTGTGTGTGTGTGTGTGGCAGAACTGGCCCCGGGAGCTGGCTGCGACCTCCCTCCCTGCGCTGCGCCCT